CCCCCCGCCCCCCGCCCCCTTTCCTACCCCTGTTCCCCACAGACTCAAGCGGTGGAGACGCACCTGCGCCTGGCGTTGAACAGCCTGCAGAGGCACGAAATCGAGTATCGTAGGGTGATGGCCCTGCTCAAGGAAGCGGAGAAGAGGGGGGACGTATCGTCGAAGGCCACGCTTAAGGTGACAAACACGCTTAAGGTGACAAGCGTGTCGGGATGTGCAGCTGCTTTCTTTTCTTGTGTGTGTTTTCGGAACTACTATAGCATCGACCACGCTGATCGGCTGACCATTGAAGTCACGTCAGCCTTGCAGAGAGGGATGTGTGCGTATTTCTTGATTGAGCATCGACCGTGCTAACCGGCTGACCAATAAAGCCACGTAAGTCTTACAGAGCGGGATAAGAAATGCTCCAAAATATGACATGTATGCACAATATTCGCGAAGCCACACACGCACACTGGCAAGCTGGCAAGGATGATTCAGCCGTAAGGAGACTTCCTTGTGTGGTTACGATACTTGGGCAGAAAATTAGGCGCTGTGTGCTCGCTCACGCTTGCACTTCTTCCCGCCACCCTGTCGTTCGCCGTTCCCACCTTTTTCTCATCCGTTTCCCATCCGTTTCTTGCGTGCATTTTTTGGCGCGCGCAGGACATGCTCCACAAGATGGGCGACGCGATCAACTCGCACAGGTCGACCGCCCAGCAGCTGGAAGGCTACCGCCGGAACTTCAAGCAGCAGCGGCAGCAGCAGAACCAGCGGCATCAGCAGCAGCAACAGCAGCAGCAGCAGCAGCAGCAGCAGCAGCAGCAGCAGCAGCAGTACGGCAAGAGGCCCTCATCGGTCACCCCGTTCGGCCTCCCGCGCCCCGCGCAGCTCGGCGGTGGTGGCGCCGGGGGGGGGGATGGAACCACCGCCAGGGACATGGCGTCTTCGTCCCCCGCCATGCCTAACCCGGCCTCGTCGGGATTCGGCCTCGGTTCCGGGATGCCCGCGGTGTTGTCGTTGGGCATGCGGGGAGGCGGCGGTGCTAGGGGGAACGGGGACGGGATGGCGTCTCCGCGTGGGTTGGGTGGTACGGGTCTCGGGGGGCGGTGGCCGCATGGTCCTCAGCAGCAGCAGCAGCGGCAGCAGCAGCAGGAGTTGTTGCTGCAGCAGCAGTTGCAGCAGCAGAGGGCCCAGCAGCAGCAGCAGCAGCAGCAGCGGCGAGGAGCGCAGCCGCAGCAAGCGCAGCCGCAGCAGCAGCAGCAGCAGCAGTGGCCGCGGCCCGACCAGCCGCGTCAGCAGCAGCAGCAGCAACAGCAGCAGATACACCAGATGCAGCAGGTGCGCCAGATGCACCAGATGCAGCACCTCCAGCAGCAGGCATGGTCAACGGTGAGCCGAAGTCTCTTACCCATATTCCTTTGTCCACGCTTTTAGCGGCTGCTCCCTCTCTTTGCGGTTGTGTTGTGAGCGGCGGTGGCGGCAGCAGCGGTGGCGACGTTGCCGCGAAAGAAACTCCTGCCCTGTTTGTTGTGACGGCGATTAGAAAGAATCCAGCAGTGTCCAACACCCGCCCCATCACCTACCTCCGTCGATTCTTCAGACGCGTTGACAGCAATCCGTACACATCCCCAAATCCGCTACATACCACTCTCGAACGTATTGTCGTTAGATTTTCGTCCGTGCGCTACCGAATGTTTCGCTGGTGAGGGTCGAAGACGAATGCCCTCCTCCATTGCATTACACCCACAAGTCCACCTGATGCCCCGTATCCCATCCCACCCCTCAGAGCCCCCCCCTCCCGGTGTGTACCATCGGGGTTGGGTTTTCGTCGCTTGGCAACGACGTTGTAAAACAAGCCGCCCCCCCCGGTGTTTGCCATCGGGGTTGGGTTTTCGTCGCTTGGCAACGACGTTGTCAAACAAGCCAATTCACTTCGTGAGCTCGGCAACCAGGTTACCGTTTTTTTTTTTTCTCTGTTTTTTTTGGGCTGTAATCATAATGGTGGTCGCGTAGATCATGTTGTGCGGGGTGGAGAACCCTCACTTCGCGCAAGGAGGATGATCGCACCACGTTGTGTTAATTGGTCAAGCAGCCTCGAGGCAGTTACACAGTGCTTACAATTGTCTCTGGAAGTGAAAGCACCAGAAAATAAATTAATTCATACGCAGCTGTCATCCGTACGCAAGGAAGTAAGCACAAGATGCCGAACACCCTTAGCAGGATGCAGCGCACCCTTCATGCGACTCGCCGAATATCTCACGGCGCTTCGCGCTTGGTGATGTGAGAGCCTGGTCCGGTGAGAACCCGGCGTGCTCCGTCCCGACTTTGTAGGTATGCGAGGTCAATGGTCTAACGACTACGGCATGCACGACTATGAGTACAGCCCCCCCCCCTCCTGGTGTTTTTGGTCTACAAATCCCAACAATAATACCCCCCCCCTATCTGACGACTATGAGTTCCCCCCCCCCCCCTATCTGACGTTGTATATCTACGATCTCAGCAGCAGTACCCCGCCAACAACAACACGGCGGACCTGGCGAGCCGGCTACTGGGGGAAGACCAGGAGGGCGACTCTCCGGACGAGTTGGCCGGCGGCACGGCGGCGGCGGCAGCGGCGGCAGCGGCGGCAGCCCCCACGCTCGGGGTACTGGGGACGAGCCCTTGGGGGGCTGCCCCCCTCCCCGGCGGCGGCGCCGGGAACCCCCGAGGCGGCGGGACAAGCGGGTGCGTTGTTCTATGCTGGTGTAGTTCCACCGTGGCGCAGTGCGTGTGTGCTGCTGGTGTGGTGGTTCGGGTTTAGCTCGTTGTGTTCGTGGTGCTTGATGGCGGTAGCCGGCGGTGTTCCATTTCTCTGTCTCTTGTGCGTGCATTTTTTCTTTTTATGTTCAGTAGTGGGTGGCAAAATATCCTTTGTAGCTTATCGCGTTGGGTTGAGTACTCCAAAATGAAGTAACCCTTTCCTGCCTGTTTGCGTAGTGACCATGGGGCGCCATCGGCTCTGCTTCGCGCTGGCCACGCCTACTTCTTGCGCCACCTCTGCCCCCTATTCCGGACGCTCTGAATAGTCACGTTCGTTGCTGCTGCCCTCCGTCCGCGTTGCCAGTACTCACCTCCGCTGCCCAGCAGTGCTTCGCGTGTGTCGACGTTCCTCCTCTCTTTTCGATTCTCAACACCCTTGACTTTTTCGTCTCCCGCAGAACCGACGGCGGTGGCGGCGGTGGCGGCGGAGGGCAGGCACGCCCGGGCGCCAAGAAGGCCGCGGGCAAGAAGATCCCCAAGCCGAAGACGCCAGCGTCTAAGGCGGGCGCATCCAAAGCCGCTGGAGCAGCTAAGGCTGGAGGAGCCAAGTCGGGGGCAGGAGGAGGCGCTGTCAAGGCCGGCGCTTCTTCTAAAGCGGGGGCGGCGGGGGCGGCGGCGGCGGCGGCGGCTTCGAAGGGTTCTTCCGCGGCGAGCAAGTCGTCCAAGGCGGCAGCGGCGGGGAAGACGTGGGCCGGAGCCAAAGCTTCTTCGTCGAAATCACCATCAGCGGCAGGAGCGGGGGGGGCACCCAAGGGTCCAGGTTCGAAATCCTCATCTGCGGGGCCCCCAAAGCCGCCGGGCGGGGGGGGCAAGGCTCCGGGGTCCAAGGCGGGGCAGCAGGCGGGGGCCAAGGCCTCTTCGGCGGGGGTTAGCGGGAAGGCTTCGAAAGCGAAGGCTGCGGGCTCCAAGGCCTCCACGACGCCGAAGGCGTCATCGGCAGCTGCTGCGGCCACGGCCGGAGGAGGAGGAGGAGTAAGAGATGGAGGTGGAAAAGGAGGAGGTGGAGCGTCCGCACCCGCAATGGGGTCGCCGGCCGCCGCGTCTAAGACGCCGGTCTCTAAGGCTCCGGGCTCTAAGGCTCCGGGCTCTAAGGCTCCGGGCTCTAAGAGGCCGGGATCTACGGGGCCGGGCTCTAAGGCTCCGGGCTCTAAGGCTCTGGGCTCTAAGGCTCCGGGCTCTAAGGGGCCGGGCTCTAAGGGGCCGGGCTCCAAGGCGGCGGCGAAGGCGGCGGCTGGGTCGCCGGGGTTGAAGGCTGGGTCGACGACCAACAAGTCGTCCTCCAAGAGCATGAAGGTGAGAGGGGGAGGGGGCGTCTATTTTACCCGAATGGTCTGGAATCTGCACGTCGTGCGATATGCGGTAGGTTTACCGCAAGATGATGGCGGTGGCAGGGGTACCTGCTGCGTAGGATAAGACTCAACACGTTCGACCTTGGCCGGTTATGTGCGATCGGGCCGTTCCTGCTGTACACATTAGAGGTTGGACTGCGTGTTTCGTGGATGGGGAAGTATGGCACCTCCTGTGGTGTATTCGACGGGGACCCCGTGGGGCACCAAAAAAGATTGTCCGCGAGGCACGGAGAAACGCTTAATCCTTTTGGTGTGTGCGGTGCATTTGTTGGCCGCGAGAAAAAAGCTCCGGGTTGGCATGAAACAACGCGTAGCATCAGCTTACTTCTTACGGTGGCCTTCGGTCTCTCTCTCCTCTCTCCCTCTCTCTCTCTCTCTCTCTCTCTCTCTCTCTCTC